ATATATATATATATATATATATATATATATATGTATATATGTTTGTCTATATCTACATATATATATATATATATATTTATATATTTATTTATTTGTATGGAACTAATTTTATATAATGTTATGCTTTTACTAGTTTGCTAAGCCCCTCTTTCCCTGCAGCATTTTTTTTTGTCTTTGTTTGCGTCTGTACACCTCAAAACCATCACAAATAGATAAATTCTTTTTAACTCTTTTTTTGCATGCAAGTATGTGCGCATGCATTCATTTAGATAATTATATTTATTTATTTTTGCGTTTTGTTTGTCTTCAGATTCTTTTCTTCCTGGTTGGGGGAGTTGGACAGGAGCAAATATTAAAAAGCCTCGACGCAAGCCTGCTGCTGCTGCTGCTGCAGCAGCAGCAGCAGCGAAAGCAGCTGCAGCAGCAGCAAATATTGCCAAACGCCTCGTTGTTATCAACACTAAAGAGGACAAGAAAAGCAGCAAATACTTCGTCTCGCAGGTGCAGAACATGTTGCTGTTGCTGCTGCCTTCTATGCTGCTGCTGCTGCTGCTGCTACTTATGCTGCTGCAGCTGTTCCTGTTGCTCCTGTTGTTGCTGCTGTTGTTGCTGCTGCATCCATCCTTTCTGCGCGTATCCACAAGAGTATTCCCAGCAGCACTTGCAGCAAGGGCTGCAGCAGCAGCAGCAGCAGAAGCAACAAGATCCCCACCCGCCGCTGCAGTCGCAGCTGCAGCAGCTGCATTAGCTGCATTCATTTTGCTGCGTTTGCTGCTGCAGCTGCCCAAGTGCGTGCGGCCTGAGGAGTATGAGGCTCAGCTGCAGCAGCCTCTGGGCCCTGAATGGAATTCTGCTGCAGCACACAGAAGGCTCGTAGCACCGAGGGTTCGTCTTGCTGCTGCTGCTGCTGCTGCTGCTGCTGCTGTCGTTGCTGCTGCTGCTGCTTGCAGCACCTGTTCGCCTCCTTCTGCTGCTCTTCCTCTCTCCCATCTTCCTGCTTGTTGCCATTGTCCTCCCTACTGCTTCTGCTGCTGCTGCTGCTGCTGCTGCAGGTGGATGTGCGTGTGGGGGCCGTTGTACCCCCGCTGCAGTCTGCAAAGTTGCTGCAGCCGGAAGCACGCGAAGAGCTGCTAAACCTGTGGGCACTCAAAGGCAGCAAAAGAAAAAGGTCTCAAGTTCGCCTTTAAATGCTGCTGCTGCTGCTGCTTCTGGTGCTGCTGCTGCTGGTGGTGCTGCTATTGCGCCGCCACAGCTGTTGCAGCAGTGCTGCAGCAGCAGTGCCGCAGCAGCAGCAGCAGCAGCTGCAGCAGCAGCAGTGCTCTTTAGCTCGTTTTGCTGCAGCAGCAAACTCAGCAGGAGCAACTGGGATCTGCTACTGCGCAGATTGCTGCAGGTAGCAGCCCCACGAAGGAAGCTGCTGCAGCAGCAACAGCAGCTGCTGCAGCAGCGGCAGCAGACTTGCTCTACGTCTGCAGCAAGCTTTATTGTGCTGCTTTGCAGTCTTAGTTTTCTAAACCCTAAACCCTAAACCCTAATCTGCTTTATATCCGCACCGCATGCATTAGGGTTTAAATGTATATAGCAGGTTTTATATTAACAAATGTACATGCTTAGCTGTTTATATACGCCTGTGTTATATATATATTATTATATACATATGAATAGATTTGTCTTCGTTGTTTACCCGAGGAGGGCCTTTACTGAGGCGATTAGCTGTGCGGCTAGCCACGCACGCAGCAGCTAGCTAGCCAACCAGCTGGCTGACTAGCTAGCTAGCTAGAAGGCTCTCTAGCTAGCTACCTAGACAGCTAGCTGGCTAGAAGGCTAGGTATATATAGCTAGCTAGATAGCTAGCCTTTTAGCTAGCTCTGGACAATCGTCTAGCTGGTTGCTAGCTAGCCATCTAGCCCACTGGGTATTTAGCTAGCTAGCTGGCTAGCTAGCCATCTGGTGTGGTGATTACACAGCTATCCAGCTAGCTAGCCAGCTAGCTACCTACGCCTCTAGCCGGCTCCCTTGCTGCCTAGCTATCTAGCTATCTAGCTATCTATCTATCTACCTAGCTAGCTAGCTATCCATTCAGCTTGCTAGTTGTTTGGCTAGCCCTCTAGTTAGCTAGTCAGCCAGCTAGCTAACTAGCTGTCTAGCTAGCTAGCTGGCTAGCTAGGGGCCCACAGCTAGCACGAAGATTCTGTAGTGTTTTAGGGTTTAGGCTTTTTGTTAATCCCTACAAAACCCTAAACCCCTATTCAAACCCTTAAAGCTATTTACGCGTTAGAAGACATTCTAAATGTTCTCCCGCAGCCGCAGCAGCAGCAGCAGCAGCAGCCGCAGCAGCAGCAGCAGCAGCAACAGCAGCAGCTACTGTGGGGGCCCCCCAGGGGGCCCCCTCGCATGCAGCCCCAACGGGCATACCAAAGAAAAGAGAGACATAAACATAACATAATAACTTTTGTTGTTATTTCTAACTATTAATAATAGAAAAGAGCAGCAGGGATAGCTGTGCCGCAGCAGCTGCTGCCGCTGCAGCAAACCGGCATCGCTCGCTGCAGCAGCAGCAACTGCAGCAACAGCAGCAACAGCAGAAACAGCAGAAACAGCAGCAACAGCGGCAACAACAGGATCAACAGCAACAGAAGAGCAGCAGCTGTGACTAAGCTTCCAGTAGAGTTACTGCAAGCAGCAGCAGCAGCAGCTGCTGCTGCACCTGTGACGGAAGCACCTGCAGCATCCTCAGCTACAGAAGCAGCAGCAGCGGCAACAGTACCACTGGGAGCAGCAGCAGCAGCAGCAGCAAAACCAGCTTCATTAGGGACATTAAGCGCATCTGCAGCAGCAGCACAACGACAGAAATCCCCTCCCAGCAGCAGCTGTAACGGCAGCAGCAGCTGCTGCTGCAGAAGTAGCAGCAGCAGCGGCGCCAGCTGCAGCAGCAACTTGAAGGACAGCGGCTACAACTACGGTAGCCGCAGCAGGTGCAGCAACTGCTGCAGCTGCGACTGCAGCAGCACCTGCAGGAAGGGTATCCCCAGCAGCAGAACCAAAAGCAGCAGCAGCAGCAGCGGCAACAGCAGCAACAGCAGCAGCTGCCTTAGTTGGAACAGTAACACCAAGCGAAGCAAAGAAAGAGGAGAAAAATATAATGAAAAAACCGACAGTTGCAGCTTCGGCTGATGAGGATGTGCAGGTGCGCTGCTGCTGCTGCTGCTGCTACTGCTGCTGCTGCTGCTCCTGCTGCAGGCATTAATACTGTCTTTGTTGCTGCACCTTCTGCTGCTGCTTCCGCTACTGCTGCTGCTGATTCTGCTGTTGTTGTGCTGCTCTCGCCTATATGGCTTCTGTCGCTGCTGCTGCGTCGTTTGCCGTTGCTGCTGCTGCGGCATCGGCAGCAGTCTCTGCTGCTGCTGTTGCTGCTGCTGCTGCTGCTGCTGTGTGGGATGAAACCTTGCAGTGTGTTATGGACAGCCTCTTTTGCTGCTGGTGCTTCTGCTGCTTCTGCTGCTTCTGCTGTTGCTGCTGCTGCTGTTGCTGCTGCTGCTGCTGCTGCTGCAGGTCCTTGTGGGGGACGCGTTAGATGGCGGTGCCGCAACATTCTTGTCGGAGCCCAGCAGCGCAGCAGCAGCAGAAGCAGCAGCAGCTCCAGCAGCAGCAGAACTACCCCCAGCGAAGCGTTTGTCTGCTGCAGCAGGGAGTGCCTTGTCGCCCCCATCGAAGAAGGCAGCAGCAGCAGCAGCAGCAACAGCAGCAGCAGATGCAGCAGATGACATTGATGAGGTCTTAGGAGATTCTTTCTTCTCCCCACCCAGCGCAGCGCCTCCGGTAGCAGCAGCACTTTTTATCTGTCTCCTTTATCTTTTTATCTGTCTCCTTTACCTTTTTATTTGTCTCCTTTATCTTTTTATCTGTCTCCTTTATCTTTTTATTTGTCTCCTTTATCTTTTTATCTGTCTCCTTTATCTTTTTATCTGTCTCCTTTTGTCTTTCTTTTTGTCTTTTGTCTTTTGTCTCTTTTATTTATCTGTCTCCTTTGTCTCTTTTGCGTTTATCCCTCTCTTTGTTTCTTTTGTCGCTGTCTCTGTTCCTGCTGCAGGCTCCTGCTGCTGCTGCTGCAGCAGCAGCAGCAGCAAAAGCAGCAGACGTCCCTCCGGATCCCCAGGCTCTTTGTGCTGCTGCAACTGCAGCAGGGAAGGTTTGTCTTCCTTTGCTGCTGCTGCTACTGCTGCTGCTCGACTAATTTGCTGTGTTGCTGCTGTTGCTACTGCGCTGCTGCTGCTGTGCTGCTGCTGCTGTGCTGTTGCTGCTGCTACTGCTGCTGCTGTTGGAGCAGTAGCAGCTGGTATAGCCCTCCAGGGCTTTACTGCTTTGCCGCTTTGCTGCTGCTGCTGCTGCCACTGCTGCTCAGCAGCACCAGCAGCCGAACCCCCATTAGAAACAGCAGGAGCAGCAGCAGGAGCAGCAACAGGAGCAGCAGCAGCACGGTGTGAAGTTATATGTTTGCTGCTGCATGCATGCGCAGGTGCTGCCTGAATGGGAGGTAAGCGGCAACAAGAGGTGGCTATACACTCGAGATAAAACTGCTTGGTTTAACTACGGTCTGGATCATAAGAGTTTTGTCGAGTGGGTGCAGCAGCAAAGAGATATCAGACAGCAGCGCAGCGCGAGGCTGCCCCTACACGTACAAGATCAAGACTGGAATCCCCAGCAGCAGCAGCAGCAGCAGCAGCAGCAACAGCAACAGCAACAGCTGCAGCAGCTGCACCAGCAGCAGCAGCAGTATCACCACCAGCAGCTACAACCAGCGCACTTGCAGCAGCACACATTTACTATGACTGAGGCAGTCCTTCTCAGGAGACACAGCCAAAACAACAATCAGCAACAGCAGCAGCAGCAGCAGCAACATTTCCAGCAGCAGCAACAACAACATTTGCAGCAGCAACAACAACATTTGCAGCAGCAGCAGCAGCAACAACATTTGCAGCAGCAGCAGCATTTGCAGCATTTGCAGCAGCAGCAGCATTTGCAGCAGCAGCAGCAACATTTGCAGCAGCAGCAGCAGCAGCAGCAGCAGCAGCAGCATTTCCAGCCTTTTGTTGCTGAAGATGATTTCACTTCCTCAGAAGGGGCCTTCCAAGGAGCGCATG